TTTTTCTTCATATAGTCCAGCTTCTCGGATTATTTGCTCAGCATATAGATTGAATAAGTGTGGAGACAGAATACAACCCTGACGCACTCCCTTCTTGATTGAAAGAGAAGTCTTTGGAAGCACATAAAAAATTTAATTTTTATTAGGTCCATATCATCTGGTTTCTCTTCTGCTGTTTGTGCATTTTGATTTATGCTTGATAGTCTATGTATGCCATATAATAGGGCCCCTAAGTTGGCCTCAAGATTTTGCTTGAGGAATTGTATACTTTTAGGTTTCACATTTAGCTCTTTCATCTATCTGGAGTTCATTTTTGTGTATGGTGTGAGGTACAGATCTTGTTTCATTTTTCTACAAATGGATCTCCAATTTTACCAACACTGGTTATTAACCAAACATTTTCTTCCCCATTTAATGGATTTTCAGCCTTTGTCAAAGATCAGCTGACCATAGGACCATGGATCTATTTCTGGGTTCTCAATTCCATTGGTCTATGTATCTGTCATTAAACCAATACCAGGCAGTTTTGACTACTGTGGCTGTATAGTAGGTTTAATATCTGGAAGTGTGAGACCTCCTACTTTGTTCTTCTTCTTCAATAGTGCTTTTTTTATCCGAGGTCTCTTTCCTTTCCATACAAAATTAGTGATTGTTTTTTTCATATCCCTAAAGAATGTTGGTGACATCTGGATTGAGATTGCATTGGATGTATAGATTGCTTTGGGTAGAATTGACATTCTTCCTACCCATGAGCATGGGATGTTCTTCCATTAATGTAGATCTCTTATGGTTTCTTGAAGTAGTTTTTTATAGTTTTCTTTGTACAGGTCTTTGGTACATGGTTCCATTATCAACAGCAACAAAAACAGCAGTCAAGACATCAAATGCCTTATTGAACTGGGCAAATCTGCTGCAAACAAACTCTTTAAAGTGCTGATGAACAAAGATCTTTCATTTGAAGACTAAGGTGCACCTAGCCCATGCCATGGTATATTCAATAGCCTCATATGCAGATGAAAACTGGACAATTAATAAGGAAGACCAAAGATGAGTTGATGCTTTTGAGCTGTGATGTTGGTGAATAATAGTGACAGTACCATGGACTGCCTGAAGAACTAAAAAATCTGTCCTGGAGGAAGTGAAGACAGAATGCTCTTTGGAAGAAGGAATGGCCAGACTTCATCTCACCTACTTTGGTCATATCATCAGTAGGGACCATTCTCTGGTTTGGTAAAATGAAAGGTCACGAAAAAGGTGAAGGCCCTCAGTGAGGTGGATTGACACAGTGGCTGCCACAGTGGGCTCAGATACAGAAAGGATTGTGAGGCTGACACAGGTTCGAGGAGTGTTTCATTCTGTTGTACATGGGGTCACTATGAGTCAGAACTGACTCAATGACACCTATCAACCACAACGACATCATTGCAATAAAGACAGTGAACACTATCTGTCACCTCCAAAGCATTCCTCTTGTTCCTCTAGAATTCCTTACTCCTTCCTCTTACCTAAGGAGCTCTGGTGGTGTAGTGGTTAAACCTGTGTGCTTCTAAGCAGAAAGTTGGTGGTTTGAATCCACTACTCATTATGAGGGAGAAAGCTGAGACAGCCTGCTTCTGTAAAGATTTACACAGCCTTGGGTGTTCTATGGGGCAGTTCTACTCTTTCCAATAGGACCGTTATGAGTCAGAATTTGACTAGATGAAAGCTATTTTTTTGGGGTAGGTTTTGATTACATCTTACTTTCTCTGACAGCCCCACGTAACTCATGTTCTTAATGTCATTTAGATAATGTTGACTCTTCTACATTTTAATAAATGATAACACTATGTTATTCTTTGTTTTGCTCCTTTCACTCAGAATAGCTATTTCATAATTTATCCATCTTCTTGGGTATATCAAGAATTCCTTGCTTATTATCTGGAGTATCATTTCAACATGTGAGTTTTCTATGAGTTAACACTATAGAGGAGTATTCGGATTGGTTCTAGTTCCTGACTATTAAAAGGAAAGTGGATACTCAACATGAAAATGCAGAAATCTGAGAGAAAAATTGTTCATTTTCTTGAAATAACAATAACTACAACCATGGAGGAAAAAATGTCTTCAACACAGCAAGTAAATGAAGTCAAATGGAAGAAAAATCAGAAATATGTAGAGAGACAGGTTACTGCTTGTGGTAGTTCAGTTTGTGTGTCAACTTGTATGGGCCTGGTTGAGTGGCTGGGAAGTTGGTGGTAGTTATTCCCCATGATGAGACTGGCAATCAACTCCATGGTGGGATCTACCACAAGCAGCTGAGTAGCTGCCTTTGGGATGTGGTCTACTTCCTGTATATAACGAGAAGCTATGGGGAAGAGTCATTAGCTTATGACACACTTGGACCCTGCATGCAGCCATGTCGTTTTCAACAGCCTGCCATGTTCTGCCGATCTTGGGACTTTCAGTGGACTTGAATTAATGGCCTGTTGTCTGGTTTGTTAACATTGGGACTGTGTCATTTTATTTGTCAACCTTGGGCTTGTTAGCCTCACTCAGCCATTCCTGAGTGAAGAGATGTCTCTAGCTTCAGTGGGCTGGGAGCAAGAGGCAGAGCTGAAGCCTAAGGTCAAGGGGCTTTCTCGCAGCCCCTAGAGCCAGGCACTTTGCATTTGGACTTAAAGCCTCCAAACTGTAAGAGAATAAACTCCTGTTTATTAATGTCATCCCATTTGTGGTATATTCTTGTCAGAGTGGCACTAGGGAACCAGAACACTGACTGAACAAATAAGACTAAGACTTTAGGAAACCTGGGGCAGATGACACCAGCGGGCATTCAACACAGTAAAGAAATGGAACTATTTAATGAATGTCTAAATGCCAAATGTAATTATTGCAGACTGTAATCTTTAATATTTAGCAGTAAGCTGAGAGATTCCCAAAGGAAAGTGTTAGAGGAATCCTGAGACTCTGGCAGGAACCCAGATCTCCACCCCCATCGGCACCTGCCCCTGGTGCTGGTCCCTGGACTTAGTGAGTTCTGAGCACTCCCTGGAGCCCGGTTCCCTTCCTGCAGAGCAGGATTATGTCTGAGCTCACAATGACTTCCTCTCACTGTGTCTTTCACACAGTAATACAGGGCAGTGTCCTCTGGTTTCACGCTGTCCATATGCAGATACAACGTGTTCTTGGCATTGTCTCTGGAGATGGTGGATTGGCCCCTCACAGAGTCTGAGTAGTAAGCGCCCCCACCGGGAGTAATACCTGAGACCCACTCTAACCCTTTGCCTGGAGCATGGCGGACCCAATCCATGTCATAACTGCTGAAGATGAATCCAGAGCCCTTACACCAAAGACTCAGAGATCCCCCAGGCTGCCTCACGTCTTCCCCAGACTCCAGCTGCCCTTCACACCGGACACCTGCAAGAGCAGAGACAGCCTGGTCAGGAAACGGTCACACACGTCCACCGTTTCTCTCAGTCATGCCCGTTCACACACAATCCCTGTCCATAAATGACCTTCTAAAATAGCAATAAGAAAAACCCAGCTCAGCCTGGAGTCCATGGAGACTCCTCTGTGTTCAGTGCAGATCACTGAATGGAGACACCCGACAATCCTTGGGCAGGGGCTCCTCTCCCAGAGCTGCAAGTTCGGGGCTGGACCTTCTTTCATTCGCTGACTGAGGGGCCCTATTTGCATATTCTCCTCCTTTACAGCAACATGTGGGGTTGCATGACTTCTGAGAGGGCCATAACACATAGATCACAGGAGTGTTCATGGGGTGCTTTTGGGCAATGATGAGAGTTGGGAAAATTACAATATCTTGTCCACTGGGGGTGACCTTGCAGGTGTTTGAAATAGTATTAGGTTGTATAGCCTGCAGCCTCACAGCAACATGTAAGCCATCCCAACATGAAAAACTGACAGACAAGTGGTCTGTTTAACACAAAGCTCTATGAAGAGTGTGTCAACTCTGAAAGTAGCCTCCCATTCCTCCAACTACAAGATGTGCAATCACAAGGGACCAGCGATGTGCTCTGAAATCCTTCCTCTGTGTGTCCCAAAACCTCAAGTCCAGAGGCTCCCTACTTTAAGTTTAAGGGGCAGCAGTGATATTAAGGCAGGCCCATTCCTGATGGACACAGGCTCCTCTGAAGGGCACCTTTGCATTGATGACCCGGATGGACTCCGTGGACCCACCTTGGACTGCACATCAGTTGAAGAAGTCAACCAACCCTTGCTCCCGCCCTTCCAGTGATCAGACAGGCATCGTGCCTCACAACTCCCCCGCCTTCCTGGCCTCCTCTGCATTGTCTCTCACACATGCAACCCCCCCCCCGAGGAAAACTGAATCCTGTCTGGTTGCTTCTAAGAGCACCCAGACTGACACATACTTTATAATAAAGTTATGATGATATGAACATGCTGGTATTGGCCAACATAAACTACCTAACATGTGTGAATTAGGTGACCTTGCTGAACTAGAGAAAATGAATGCAGATTGGAGAAAGTGAGACACCAGCCTAGAGCTACATCTGACCCACACACTCTTATGTGAGGAGGAATGTCAGGTGTGAATCTCATTCTGCTTCTATGTGTCACTGACAGTGACCTAGCCACCTTCTTGGCTCTAACCTGAATCCTAAAGTGTGTCCTAACTGGGAACCCCACTGCAGTCTCTGTCCTGAGTCTGATCTTTCAGGGGTGGATCACCAGGCCTGTCTCCCAAGGTATCATTGATTGGATTCAAACTGCAGGCCTTGGAGCTAGTCATCAGCCCTTAACCATTAGTGATACCCAGGGACTCCACCTGCCCTGAGTCTGATTGGAAGATACACCCCAGACTTCCCTGAGCTTCATCAGAGCTCTGAGGTGGTGGATCCAGGCAGAGTCTTTTCCCTCCACAAGGGGCAGGCTGTTTTTCTGTATGTGAGAATGCTTCCCACTGTCACAACTTTTGAATCCACAGGTGTCACGGGGAGCCACAGAATTATGAAAACAGAGATTCCCCGGGAAACTGCGAGATGGAGGAGAATCCCCAGACAACAGCAGGAAACCAGCCCCTAACCACATCTGCACCTGCTCCTGGGTCTGAATCTTGATCTTAGAAAGTCCGGAGCGCCCCCTGCTGCCCGTCTCTATGCCTGCAGGGGAGGTTTGTGTCTGGGCTCCCACTGACTTCCCCTCACTGTGTCTGCAGCACAGTAATACACGGCAGTGTCCTCGACTTTCAGACTGTTCATTTGCAGATAC